GCTAACAATTATGGTCTGTTTCCTCCTTTGCAATTCTTACACTGGTGCTCCTTCTCTGGCTCCATGTGCTGGCTGGAACTTGGGGCTCCCTCTGCACAGCACCAACAGCAGGCACCACAGACGCTTCTGCTCTCAGTGAGAAAGAAACCTTCCCACAGTCATCAGTGACCAGGTCCAGGTCACAGGTACTTATCAGATCCATGGAACTTGCTCCTGTTCTAAGTTTGCTAGCTGTCTTCCCCTCAATCTGTCAGTGATGACCTTTCCTGTCCTTCACACGACCTTCCTTCCCGGATCAGTTCCGTCAAGGGGATTATCTCATCCATTACTGGAAGCAGGTGGTGTCCTTGTGTCTGTATCTCCGTTCATGAGTGGCACAGGCCTAGTCCTTTCCCAATGTCGTTTGTCTTGGGGGCGGTTGGTTGGGCACCCTGCCACCCAAGACCAGTGGAGATGGGGATCTGGTGGGCTCTTAAGTCCCACAGGCCACACTGCAGCACAGTTCCTCGTGGCTGGAGCCCAAGGACTGAGGTCCCGCCTCTGCGCTGAACGAAGCTGTGGCCTGAGGAGGGTCGCAGCCCCCCCCCCCCCCCCCCCCCCCCCGTCTGTGGAGCCCCTTCCCTGGAGGGCACGCAGCAGATGGGGGCCCAGCGAGGGACTGCGGAATTGCAGCTCTGGCGCTGGAGGAGGAGGCTCGCGGCAAGTCCCTCCAGGAACCGGGGTCCAGAAAGGAGCGGAGGCAGAAACTCTGCGGGGAGCCGCGAGGGGGAGGAGTCTCCTGGGCGGTCTCTGGAAGCTCAGTAGAATCGTTGGGTCTTGTCGCGGAGGGGGCCTTGGGATCCCCCAGGACTGGAGGAGGGACAGGAGCAGCCCCTCAGGGTCGAGCGGCTGCGCTCTGCGGCGCGGGGCTTGGGCCGGGGCGGCGGCTGTGGTCGCGCTGGTGTCTGCAGAGCGCAGAGACCCCCGCCCCCGCCACTCCTACCAGCAGGCCTCAACCTAGACCTCCAGCCCCGTCCCCGGTCCCCAGTCCCCAGTCCGGGCTCCTGGACCCCGCGCCGCGCCCCCGGCCCCGCCCCCGGCCCAGCCGGCTGCCCCAGTTTGCGGCCCCGCGCGCCCCACCTGGAGGATCCAGGCGTTCTGCTCACCAAGCCGCGGTCCGGCGCGGGGCGAGTCGCCTGGAGCGCCCACATTATTGCTGCCGAGAGGCCGTCCCCAACTAGCTGCGCAGACCCCAGACCCAGTTACACGGCAGCGGCAAGGGTGCTGGGGTCTGACTCCGACGCCCCCAGCCCACTCCACCGATTCCTGGATTCTGGGGCCAAACCGCGCGTCCCCAAGGTGGTACCCACTCACCGTGGGAGAGGTAGGAACGTGGGAGGCAGGTTTAGGTAATGAGACCCCTGCCCACGTGAGTGCCCGCTGAACCACAAGGCGGCTCCCCGGCCCCTTCCTGTCCAACCCTGGGTCTCAAGCAATGCCGATAGGCAGAGGTACCCTGATGGGAATAATTTGTTTCTGAGAAATGCAGTTATATTGCAGCCATTAAATAAGAAACGACAAATCTGTCCTTGATAGAGATATGGCTGTGGGAAGAGCAGCTGGGGCGGGGGTGGGGGGGGTCAGGTTGCTTGGAATAGTGTCTAAATGGCACCCAGTGGGTGCTCAGGTAAACTGGAGAAGGGAGCACCCATCATAGCTGCCCAGTGTGCCTTTCCCTCCCTGAGAAGAACTGGCCTGTGGCCACTGCAGGTCTAAAGGTGAACTGGTAGGGGTGAATGCATGTCCTTAAACTTGTTATGCTGAAAACTCACTTTCGTCTCCGTATTCTTAACAAAAGCATAACTAGGTTTCAAACCATTTGCCTCTTTATTCATAAGATGTTTTTCACAAACCATGCAAAAGAAATTCAATCAGAAAGTAATGTGAGGGACTAGATGTCTCCCAATTGACTTTAAAGCTTGGATGCTTGTGCCAGTTAGGTAGATCTCAGTTCTTTTTGGACTACTCTTCAGCATTGTTTCAACATTTCACTTTCATGCATGGCAAGGCCCCTCCACTGTGGGAAGAGAACCACAGGAGCTAGTCTGTAGGGTGGACGAGTGGGCAGCCATTAGATCGCATGGTGTGCTGCTGGGCTCCAGGGGGCGCTGTGCATACAGCTTGCCCATCAGGACACAGCTTACCTAAAATCATGGCCTGGTTAGAGAACAAGAGGCAATGGGGACAGATACCCACCCCCCCGCCATGGCCTCAGTCCAAGGAGGGGGTGAACACACTATGCACACCCAGATTGACTTTTGCCTGAGAGGCAGGTGTCCTTACTCTCTTACCCTTTGCAGGCACTGGGGCGTGGGCAGCACATGGTGGTGGTGGGGGGGGGGCTCCCAGCAACAGGTGCATCCCAAGTACCCCAGACCCCTGCCAAGCAGCCACACCACCTCAGAGGGTGGGAGCAGGGGCTTGCTGTCTCCCCACCCTTCATGGAGCATCCTTTCCACTCGTCTCAGGTGGCCTGCCTGTGCCGTGGGCAGCACTCCCTCCCATGGACAGGGACACCATCAGTGCTCACCTGCATTCTCACATCCACACAATAACACTCTGCTCTGCTGCCCTTTGAACTGCCTTGGGGCTCACAGGAGGCAAGCTGCGGCCCTTAGGTCTGGCAGGGTTGGGTGAACCCCCCAGGGCATGGCGACCAGAGCGATATCAGACATCATGGCACATGCTGTTCTGGTGGGAATCTGGCCTTCTTGTGGACTACAGGGCCATACAAGAGGATGCCCCTCCTCCAGGTTCACCCAGCAGCCATGAAGGAGGGGTAGGGAGGCTGTCTGAGCTGGAGCTGTGCCTGCTCTCACCCAGTGGGTCTTTCTCTAGACAGGACTGGGATGGGGCTGGAAACAAGCAGGTTTGGAGTGGACATGAGCAACTCCTACATCCCCACGGCCAGTCACATACTGCAGTGCCCCAGCACTGCGTGCCAGATCCTGCCACACACGGCACCTAGCCACCCAGCCAAACCACCCAGTTGAGCAGGATGTGAATCCACGCTCTGCTACATAGGCCTCCTCCCTGCAGCAGGAAATGGGAAAACCAACTCAGTGCTGGCCTCCTTGGGCTTCTTGGGAGCCCCAACTTGTGTTCAGATGCTAGACGACACCACGTACCCTCTGTCCACCCATCTGTGCACCCGACTTTCATGATACTGCTACACACCAGGCACTGTTTCGTGCCCCAGGTGCAGAGCTGAGCAGTTGAAGCCCCCTGTCATTGGGCAGGTACTTCATGGAGCAGTTGGCCCATCAACTGGCAGTCCAGCAGATGGACTTCAGGAAGAGGGCTGAGCTGATGAGGAGAGGGAAGAGGGCAGTCTCCCCACTGTGGACTGATGGGTCAGGAATGGAGCCAAGACCTCAGGGAGCTGAAGGGTGAGCATTTGGAGCACATGGAGGAGCCTTCTAGGTAGGGGTCCCAGAGAAGGGGCAGGGTCCACCTGGGAAGCTGGGGGGACATCACTGAGGGTTAGGGACAGATAGGGGCACTGGATCTGGGGAGAACTAGGGCTTTCCTTTGAGTTGAAGGATTCCAATAAGGGACCAAAAGGGGCAGGTGAAGGGGCCTCCAGGATGTGGCTGTGGCAGTGGGGTACCTGGTGGCTGGGCAGGTCTTCATCACTGTGGTGGGGTACCTGACGACATCAGTGTAGAGGAGAAAGGGAGTTCCAGAGGGTCCAGTCCATGACCAGCTGGCTCAGCTGTCTCTGGCCCTGTGGTGAGGCAGAAGGAACTTCCGGGTAGAAGAACACAGCGAGCAAAGTGACTCATTTCTTGGAATCTGGAGGTAGAGGGAGAGAGTCTGGGGACAAACACAGACCCCAAGGACATGTCCCCAGGGGCCCAGTCCTTTCACAAGGTCCTCCCTCCTGCAGTTCCCACCACCTCTCAACAACGACGTCAATTATGAATCCATCATGGAGGTTAGAGCCTTCATGACCTGATCACTTCCCCGAACGCTTTTGCATTGGAAGCCAAGTTTCCAACACAGGTGCCTTGGGGGGTCACTTTATATCCGAACCATAAAACTTGAGGACACTGGGGGAGGTGGAGTTCTGCCAGGCCCTAGGGAGCCTGAGGTGCCTAGGACAGCACTCCTGGATTGCAGTGCTGTCCTGGGGGGAGTCAAGGGCAGATAAAGGACATCAGGTCCTCTTGCTGGAAGCCGGAGTGGCTCATACTCCTCTGAGCTCTGAGACCAGGGGCGGTGTGGAGGGCAGGGGCAAGGGACCTAAAGATCAGCCTCGCTGGTCAGGAAGCGGAGCCCTAGTTCCTGACAAGTTGTTCAGACCTGTCGTGGAGTGTGGGTTGGAGTCCAAGGCGAGACCCACAGTCAGGGTCCTCTTCCATTAAGGGTCTGCGCTGTCCCAGGCCTTGCCAATGTCACAGCAGCCAGGAGCCCAACGGTCACCGCAGAGGGGCGCCCTAGGCCTCAGAACTGCTGGGCCCACCCATCGGGTAGAGTCCGTGGGGATGTGGCCCATTCCGGCCAGCCGACTCAAAGACTCACAGCTGAGCCGGGAAGGGAGGGAGGCGGCCGCCGGGTTCGCGGCCGGCTCTTGGTTCATCCTTCCTGGCACGACCACGCTCAGGCGCCCTCCGGGTGGTGGGCTCCTAGCATAGCAGGCGGCCCCGGCGCGCTGGCCTGGGGCGGGGGTCCGGCTGCCCGATGGGCGTGCACAGGCCAGGCGGGCGTGCCACGAGCGTGCGACTGTCAGCTCTCACGTGTGAGCAGCGGGGGCGGGAAGGCCCCGCCCTGGGGCGGGAGGGGGCCGTGGGATTAAAGGCCACCCGGGCGGGCGGGGACGGACTGCGGCCGGCCGGCACCCAGAGCACTCTGGGCTCTGTGCGCTGCCCGCTGCCCCGAGCGCGCGTCCGACCGAGCGGAGCGCAGCGGGGACTTACCTCAGTATGCGCATCAGAACCCGGCACTGAGGAGCCGCGGTGATGTGGCTGCGCGAGTCCCCGCGCCCCTTCTGGGGACCGCTGCTGGCGCTGGTGCTGACGCTGGGCGGACTGCCAAGAGTCAGGGGCTTCGAGGAGGAGCCAAGCAACGCGAGCCAGGGATTCCAGGTAGTCACCTTCAAATGGCACCACGTCCAGGACCCCTACATCATCGCGATCTGGATTCTCGTGGCCAGCTTAGCCAAAATTGGTAAGTGGCTGGGGGCCTAATGGGTCGCGTATCCCACCATTGCAGCACCCCACACCCCATGCTCCCTGGAGCCTGTGGAGCCTGCCGGGCGGGAGGGACAGAGCCCAACTGCCTTCACCTTCGCCTTTCCTCCCCGTCTCTGGGGAAGGGTGTGGGGATCCCAGGAGCCCAGTGGCGCGTGGCTGGTAGGCGGCAGGCTGCTGAGTCCCACAGAGTGAGCCTCCAGCCTCTGGACTGCCCACCCTGGCTGTGTGGCCCTGGATGGTCCTGGCCGCGCCTGTCTGTGCGCTCAGCTGCCCTCTGGGTACAGGTCTGAGCTTGACATCTGCCCAAATGCACTTGTAGACACAGGGGCTGCTTGGTTCCTTGCTGCTTTTCAGTGCTTGGATGGGAAGGTCCTTGCAGTCTGCCCTGGAGTGATGTTTGTTCCACATCAGAAGGGAAAAAAGATGCTACCCCAAACGAAGCCCAGTAAATCCATTCACCTGAGCAGTTTGCCCAGGACTCTTGAGCTTTCATCTTGCTCTTCTCTTAATTGGCCCAGTGAGTTAGGGATGTGGGGATCCCAGGTAACTCCTGGACAAGGTGAGAGGAAGGTCAGCTCTCCTGGGAGCTTAGGAAGATCAAAGTTTCAGTGTCTTCCTGAAGGGGAGGGTCTTCCTGGACTGCGGTGGCCTGGGTGACTTCAAGGTGGAGCCTGGGGGTGGCAGGACCTGGGTGGGGGCCAAGAGAAACAAGCCAGACGCTGCTGCTCATCCAGGGGGGTCTCCTCGGAGCTTCTACAGTGGGGAGGGGCAGGGAGCCCCCAGCCACCCTCCCCGGGCTCAGTGGGGCAGGAGAGGGGTGGGCTGGGAGGGCAAGTTAGAGGACATGGGCTTGGTGGGCCTGTCTTCTGAAGCTGGCTGGCACCACGGTCACCGCAGAGGACTGCCTGAGTTCTATCCCGAGGGGCCAGTGGCCCCTGCCCGCTGACCCATTTCATCTCTGTCGTGTCCCTGAAAGCTCTCTGGGAGCTTCTGCCACCTCACTGATCCCCAGGAGCCTGCTCTCCCTCCTCTGGCTGCCTGGTCCCTTGCTCAGTCTGTCCCCTGGGCTCTCAGGTCAGCGTGTGGGCTTGGCTGTGGAGCGTGAACAACGCTGCCTGCCTCCTAAGGTCGCTCAGCCTCCTCCTGGTACCAGAAACCCCTCCGGGGGCTCCCACTGCTCCTGCCTGGACTGCAGTTGCCCGGGGGTGTAAGTGAGCGTGCACCCCCTGTGCTCCTGGGGCACCCCGATAGCCCTGGTATCAATTCAGAGCCTGGGCACCAGCCAGCTGGTCAGCTGTGCTCTGCTCTGGGAGGCCAGTGGGCAGGCACACTGACCAGGGTTCTGCTGGCCTTGAGCTTTTCGGGTCACTAAGAAGGGTCCTGAGAGAGTGTCCATGAGGGCAGGAGGGCAGGCAGTCAGCAGCTCCCTTAGAGGGCGGTGGGCCCGGCTGGGTGCCTGCCATGTGAAAGGGTCCACCAGTTAATCCAGCACTGTCAGTCCCCACCTGAGGGGTGACAGCCAAGCATTGGTGGAGGTGTTGGGGCATTGGTCCAAGACAACAGGCAAGGACCCCTGGCATTGATCGAGCCCCCTTGGGATGCCCTCCGTTATGGGCAGGGGTCAGACCCTACTCCCACCCACACAGCTGCCATTCTGTATCTGGAGGCTGTGTCCTGGGTCCCGCCCAGGAACTGGCATCCCTGCAGAGGGAGCTGGGCCCACCCGAGCCTGCCCTTTCCTATTCCACTCACCCATCCCTAACTCCTGGAATGTGCTGCCCAGGTCCCCAAGGCTCCTGTAGTTCAGCGTGGCCCTTGGTGACCCCATACCCTTACTCCCCTTGGCCCCCCCACCCACCCCAGCTTCCTCCCTCTGCTGGCTGCCCCTGCTCAGGCCTGCAGATGTCAGCTCCCAGGGCCCTCTCCCTGCACCTCACTGTGTGTCACACCTCCAGGTACCCTGGGACAGGGGACCCCCACCTCCAGGAGGGTTTCTTAAGTGCGGCTGCCTACCAGGCATCCCAGCATAGACATCTCCCCACAGCTCAGCCTCCACAGGCCCTGGATGGTCCTCCAACACTCTTCAGAACCAGAGCTCACTCTTACCCTGACGTGACACATGAGATAGGGCCACAGTGGAGCGTCCCCCAGCCCCAGGTCAGACCCGCTGTCTCTGGACTCCACCCAGCTCCACCCACCCTCTGCAGCTCCCCTCCCCCAACAACCCATTGTCCACCGAGGCCTGCACAGGAGAAGGAGGATGCAGCGGCCCAGCATCTAGCCTTGGGAGCCACCTTGGGGCAGGGACACCCCCAGCCCCGCCTCATGGCTCCTCCCTCCCCCGTGGACTCTGGACCTGCTCAGATCCCTGCTGACCCCAACCTGCCCCCTCAGAAGCTCCCAGACCCCTCCCTGTGCAGGCGACCTCAGATGCCTCCCTCCACCTGCCCTGGCACTGACCCAGGGGCTCAGAGACTCAGAGAAAGGGGACCGTTCCGGACTCGAGCAGCCCCCACCAGGGCCCAGAACAGAGAGTTCTTCTGACCAGGCCAATGCCACTGTTTAAGATGGTCCAGAGTAGTTCACCCGCAACCTCCGAGGGAGGAAGGGCTGATCTGTGGCCTCCCAGGCATTTGGGTCCCTGGGTGTCCCTGACCTCGTGCCCAGCCTGGCCGTTAAGATGCAACGAAGCTGGGGAGGTTGGCCAGGGCCTGGGACACAGGCAGTGTCGATTCTGCAGCTGGACTCCGGAGGGCTGAGAGCAGGCCCCCGAGGCCAGGAGTGTGCCCGCAGCACGGCTAGGCAGGCTGGAGGGTCCCACCTGCTGGGGGCAGTGGCCGGAGGTCAGTTTGCCCTGGGGCATGACAGACTCCTCCCTCTGGCCATCCTGCACACCCACCATGAGCTCTCCATGGGGGTCCCCTGCAGCAAGCACACATGGTGATTTGTCCTTGTCCCATGCTGTCAAAGGCCAGATGCCCTGGTCCAGGCCTGGTCTCCTCATAGACTCCTTCCCGGCCCCCTTTGGTGCTGAAGTCCCTGAGGGCAGGCCCCGGGCAGTGCTGGGGTGGCGCCCACCGGGGGTGGGTCCAGGCGGCTTCAGGAGCCAGGGCAGGCTGTCCTGGAGGAAGAGGGAGACTGCGTGTGGGAGGCCGAGCTGGGGAAGCCACCCCAGCTCCAGTGCAGGCCTCCGAGGACTTTGGTCTCTGTCGGGGCTGTGCCGAGGGGCGGAACTCTGGCCTGGGCTCCGACCACTACTCTGGCTGTAGGACAGAAAATGGCCCAGGGCAGCGTCCAGCTCTCAGGCTGCCAGGTGAGGTGCAGCTCCTGGGGCTGAGGTCCACTCACTGAGCAGCTGCCTGAGGGCCTGGGGTCAGGGTGGTGGTGGTGGTGGTGGTGGGACAGGAGCACGCAGGCCGGCCATCTTCAGGAAATTTGTGCCCCCAGGAGAGGCACCTCACCCCTGGGCCCCAGGACAGAGCTGGCGCTGGGCGGCGGCCATCCTGCCCACGCACCATGGCCCATCTCATCATCTGTGAGGTCCTTACAGGCTCTGGGGAGGGTCACAGCCCTGGGTTGACAGGGGAGAGGGTAACCTGATGGTGTCAGGGCCCACAGACCTGGAGGAGGCTGCGCCCCTGTGCCGGGTTCTGTGTAGCCATACTGCTCCTCGGGCGTCACACCAGTGGGAGACGGGCCTTGACTTTCCCAAGGTGGTGGTGGCCTTTCAAGATCCAGAGCTCTGGTCCCCAGGTCCCCTGTTCCTGGCCCTCAAATCTTGGCCACCCCCAAGGGACCACCTGCTTGTCCTTACTGTTTGGGTGGGGCACCAGAAGGTCATTGTCACTATGCTCCCTGGTCCCTCCAAGACTTTGGGGTGGGGCTTAGCCACCCTCTATTGCCTTGTCCAGGGTGCTCGGGGAAGCCTGTGCCACTGGGGTGACTTGTGTGAACCCCTGCCTGGTACATGGATTCCTTGCAGCAACAGCTGTCCACCTGCCTGGTGTTCTCCACTCCTGTCCCACGTGGAGTCACGTTGCCTTCTAGGGTTGAAGCACTAGGCTCAAGACTTATTCTGTGGGCTCTGACCCCGGAGACAGGAGCCCCTGCAACATGCAGCAAGCTACCAGCTCTGTCCCACCATCTTGTCCAGAGCCTGGCTCACTCACTGTCTCTCCGTCCTCTTCTGCTGAGTTCCTTGGATTCTCCTTGAAGGAACGCAGGACAGGATCTGGGAAAGGGTGACCTAGGAGGGCCATGGTAAATGGCAGGAGCCCCAGCCCTCCTAGGAGAGGATGAGTCAGTGGGCCCCAGTGGACCCAGTTCCAACAGGAGAGGTGGTCCCACAGGTTTGTAGGAAGGACCACTCATCAGAAGCCCAGGACCAAGGACTCCCTGCAGTCTACCCAGGAGTGCTGAAGGCCTGGCGTTCAGAAGCTGCCTGGGAGAGTTCATGTAGGCACTGGGATCCCAGACACCCTGAGCAGAGGGACAAAGTTTGGGCAGTGCTGACAGCATCCAGGGCCAGGGAGGAGCCGCCAGTGCTTCCTGCTCACAAGAGTGACCTCAAGTGTCCTCCACTTGATGGCTTCCTGAAGGGAAAGGTCTTTCAGGGAGCCCAGACACACGAGCCCACCCTGAGGCCCCTGCCCTGTGCGCGCCCACCGTGAGCCAAGATGCTTTGCATCTCTGGGCCGTGCCGTCCCAGCCCACACGGCTCTGTTTCACTCGGGTGAATGGGTCGTGGTGTGTGAGGGGTTCTGCTCCATCCCTGTGTGCTGAAGGCTGTGCTGCCCACAGGTGCAGGGACCCTCACCGCAGGCCGGGGTGCGCTTAGGGTTGAGGCTGCCGTCTGTGTCCTGCCTCCGAGGGCTGGCTGACTCCCACTTGGGTCTCGGTGTCAGATGACAAGGTGCCAGTCAGGGGCCATGGGTGTCCCGGTGCCGAGCCTCAGCACCGGGTCCTGGGATGCCC